TTTAAAAAAAGTTATCCTAAAAACAATGTTGCACAAGGATATTACCAGTGTTTCACAGGACTTTATAAAGTTTTAGAACAGAATAAAAGCTGCCTGACAACAGCGTGGAACATTCACAAATACATATTTAGCCTCAATGTGTGTTTTCATTACACATTCCTGTGATACTTGCAGGGAGGGGAGATTCCAAAACAAAAGTCCTTTTGAAAACTGAAATAAAACCCACAAGATTTAAAGTTTGTTGTTTGTCAGTTTCCTGTGTGCTGCATGCTCTTAAAGTCATTGGGTTTTCAGTGCAATTCAGTTTTACAAAAGTAATTCTAACTGCCAATTTACTAAAAGGCGGAGTGGATAAGTATTTTGAAAATCCCTGCTCGATGAATTGACAAATTGAGGTATAGTCTTCACAAATGTGACATTTAACCGTTTTAAGCAATATGTACGCATAACTGACTGGTTGCCAAATATTTCTATCCTGGCAAAATGATCATCAATAAACCAGATACATTTTCCCTCCACTCAAACAAGGCATATTATTTTCCAGGAAGGAAATCGCCATAAATCTTTGTAACAGCATTTCTGTGTTGCATAATGCAGCTGTAGGGAAAAGTCTCTCCTTAATTACAAAGGCGACTTGGATGCATTCTCAATAGGTTTTGCAATTGTGTAACAAGTATTGTCAAGAATAAAAAAATTAAAATTGTAATGTGAAGAGAAGCACGTTATGTCAGCCAGGAGCCAACTAGCTAATAATTTATAGCTGCAAAAAAACAAAAACAAGGCGGAGTTAGCTAGTAATTAGATTATATTTGACTATGATCGAGAGATATGAGGAAAATGAATACGTATGACATCTTTGATCTAAAATAAGGCTGAATCTTAAGAGGTATCTAAGGTTTATTTTAGGGTTGTCATGGTAATTTGGGACTCAAATGCAGTATTAAAGCAGCAGTTGCTGTAAAACAGCAGTCTTTGCAATTAACATAATGTGAGAAACTTTAGGAGCTCTTGTTAAACAAAACCAAATCTTTAACCTGAAAGTCTACTCAAGGCTTAAAGGCTACGCTGTAGTTCATTATAAGACCCAACAATAACTTTAAGGCGTGCACCTGAAAACAGTCTCAGTTGGCAATCACATCAAAGATTAGTTTTGCTCCGTGGGGGAATATTCTTCTAACGAGAATTATGCGGGAACAGAAAAGGAGGGGAAAGGGATAAACACTGTCTGAGACAAAAAAGGCCACGTAGTTAACAAGCGCTGTGACATTCTGGATGCAATCCACAAAGTGGCTCGTTATATCGATGGATCTCTATTGCATTCCCAAAATGGCTGCCAAATATGTTCAACTGGGGTAGACAAAGTGCCAAGATGGACTCAAGTGCATATTTCTTTTCTTTTTTTTATGTCTTTTGTTATACTACAGTAAAATGCCCTGTTTAGGATTATGGATTACAATATTAATTTAACTTCATCTGTAAAAGGTCCAAATGCAAGAATTTATTTTGTATTATTATTACATTGCCAGTATTCTTAAATTTGCAACCAAATTTACATTTTCTAAATTTGAATTATTAATTATATTCAAATTAAATATTACGCGGCAAAACAAATAGTGGATTGAGGTGAATTCTATTCATGACCGATATGAAATGCTCTCTCGCACCTCTCCCGTCCTTTCCACTACTGTCCAAAAAGAACACCAACGCCTAAAAACCTTTTCAAGAGAGTTGTGTTGAAACCACACAATGAACATGGATCTATACATTTAAATATTTAGGTATATGTGCCACCAGAATTACCTGGTAAAAGCCCGGTGAAGGAATAACCACAAATGTGGCATTGCAGAGGCGTCAGAGAGACGTCTCTATCTTGACTATTTGGGCAACAGTGCCTTCGCTGCACTTAAAAAAATGATTTGGAATACTGACCTGCCATCTGTGTGCAAGTACAGTACAAGATGATTGTTATATGTCCCTTCCAAAGAAGCACTCATTACATTGGTGCAGCATGGTTTCCTTACACATTTTCACTTGAGCAAACCCAAATAATCCGGTGGGAGAAATGTGCGAACGGGTGACTAAATCAGCTCGAAACATTTCAAAATTGAATGCTGTGGACACATTGTGTGAGTTTGTTGGTCAATAATAAATGGCTGAATGTGAAGAGAGAGAACGAGAGAGAGAGAGAGAGAGAGAGAGAGAGAGCTCCAGAACAGAGGACGAGTGAAGGATGGTGAAGCCAAAAGAAAATTGGGATTGATTGCAGAGTGTGGATTAACTGACCGCCCCCAGCCCCCAGCCTTCATGTGAGGAGGTCTACAGTTTATCTGCTGGGTCTCCTTCATACAATAATGAGTTTCCTTGGTCTGCAGACATGCTCTTAAATATTCATTAGTCATGGGTGGGTTTTAGCCGTGACACAGAAAGCTGGCAAATGGCGATGGCTCAAACACTGTGAATATTAATGTACATGTGGAATATATACATATATATACTCATTAGTGACTTAACAGAGATGAAACTGGGCACCTGATACTCTGGACTACAAACACTCCCAACACACATATTGGCTGTCTCTCTTTCAGCACTGTACACCTCTCTGTGCTGATAAAAACAGAGTTTTTTTGACATCAAGCCGTGATGAGAGCTCACTTACGCACAAGACAAGTACCCTCCAATTCTTCAAACAATGAAATGTCCAAAAATACAGGTATTAAGTTTGTGTGGAGTTTCTTTTCAGATGAAGGGTATTCCAACCGGTGTATACGCTCTGTGACAATATCATTTGTACTTCACTCACCCACATGCAGCCTGTCAATCAATATGCTCCAATTCATATTACAGATGTATAATCATGCCCATAGCTGAAAATCTTACATCAAAGTGTAACGTCGGATTTCTGCTACACCGGGCTGCACGCGCAGCTCTCCCAATGTATCCATTCAGAAAACAAACGATCCAGTGCAGCGTGAGTTACATAACCAAGCCTATAGGATCGCAGCCCATTTAAGTTGTGGAAAGATATTCTGAATGAAGGCGGGGGGTGGGGGGGGGAGCAGGAAATGATCACAACACAAGTGAGAAGGGATGAACGCACAATTATGTGGTAAAACAAAACCCACACATATACACGGGTACACATCCACAGACCGGAGCTGATGGTCGCAGCGCTGCTGCGCTCTCGTGCAGCCTCCCCATGTGTCAAACCCGAGACCGGCCTTCCTGTGTGTGGAAACCTGCGTCCTCTCACGTCAACAGCGGTGACCACACCAGAGTCGACCTCCGACATGACTACAGTGCGTTGATGCAAAGCTCGATACCCACACACAACTTCTAGGGCTATAAGGGCGATCCTGCATGTGCCTATAATCAGACACATGCCGTATTGTAGAAAGCATCGCTTATAATAGCCACAAGAACACGCTGTATTACTCTCTTTATCTGACAAAGCCAAGCGCTTTAGGACAACATCTGTTTGCCACACACACACACGCACGCAAGCACACTCTGTCCGTTTCGCAGTCACACGCACACGCGCACACACAGACAGACAGACGCGCACGATCTCGCACGGATAGATGGAGCCCAAAAGAACAAGACATGCTCCTCCGGTTTAACTCCCAGTGGCCCTTTCTGTGAATTTTGGGCAGTCATTGCTCCATTTATTTTTTTTAATGGCGCCAAAGCGGAACATATACAGACATATTTTAACTTTATTCAAGGGGTGAAGCGCCTCTATAGTGCCATCTAATAAGCAAGAGCAAAGGAATCACGAGTTGTCCATGAATATTTTGCAACAAAATGTCTCAAAAGACACGCAGCAAGCGCCTCCTGCAACTTTAATTACACCAGAGCATGGCCCCATATCTAGGCCATGCCTTTGCCAAAAACATCCTCACATCGCAAACATTTTCACGAACTGTAGGCTCGGAATAAAAACGGATTGCGACCATTACCGAGATCATTCATTTTGGGGAAACATGGCACCAAAAAAATCCAGCCCAGAGTCCCACTGGATTTAGTTGTGATTTCTCTCAACTGAACCTGCGGTATTGTTTTACCTTCAGACACAATGTTAGCCATGCCTCCCCCAATCCGCCTGCTGAGCATATCTTAATGTAACCCCATCTCATAAATACCACGCCGTATTGATATTAATTCATAAAAAATGTAGGCTAGACATCTGTCTGAGTACAAGCGCTGTACAGGAGCCGCTGCTATGTATTTCAAAAAACGTCGAAACCCCTTCTCTTTCCGGCAACTTCAACAAACTGAAATGTATTTTAGAAATAGATTCGCAGCGAGACTATGCTGTGGTGCTCCGTTGCAATAAGGAAACGCGTTTCCTCTTGATTCAAATAACTGACCTAAAAGCCAAATGCGCACGTCGGCTGCCACAGTTGTTCCGGGCTCACAGTGTGTGAAATGTGAACGAGCAGCCTGCGAGCATCGCTGAGGCTTTCGCTTGATTCAGAGAATCGGACCTGTGAACACAGTTTGCCCAGAGTATTGTCCTCAAGTGTCCCCTGTCCGGCTCGCGGGCAAATGCGAAAGTAAAGGGCTAAAGGTAAAGGGGCATGTTGAGAGAATAATGACAGATGGGGAAACTTGCGTCATGCCAGGGCAGCGCGTTTTTTTTTTTTTTTTTTTTTTTTTTGTAGTCGAATATAAACGGACAACAAAACCTCTGGCATGCAAAACTGAGCCCGCCTAACATGAGGGACTCGTTTCATTGCATATCGTACGCTGGCGTCACGTTTATTGAATGTTTGAAATCCTCTAAAAAGGGAAGTTTTCGATTATCTAGAGCGTAATATGTGGTTGGTAAAGCCAGCCACAACTACATGGAAGTCCGCGGTATTTCATGCACATCACCCGAAAGTCTACGAGAAGGTTTTCCCCTCTTACACAGGAAATTCCTGTAATTTCTCCCCTGTAATAATTGCGTTATAGATAGTGTAAAGACCCATCCCTTTTCCTACTTTTCCTCAATTTCTTACCTGTACTTCGAAGCTCGTTCAAAAAGTGGCGACAGCGTTTCCACGGCTCCCCCTGTTTTCCCCCGACGAAGCGCGTATAGTTTTTTTTTTAATATGTTCCTTTACTTTGTTTCATTTCTCACTTCCATCTTCTTTTCATCTCATCAATAAACACACGCTGCAGCCTACCTTCATAGAGCAGCTCGGTTCAAGTGTGCCCTCCCATTTTTTAACTATACATCGAGTACTTTGAGGGGTGGAGGAGGAGGAGGAGGAGGAGGAGGGGGGGCATGCATGCAGGCAGGCAGGCACGCCTTTCACTTAAAGCTGCCATTGGAAGAACAGTGCACTGTCTTCGGTTGGATCAGAAATCCGCCAACATTATTGTGCCCCAATCGCAGGGAGCACAGTGGGACGGTGAAACCGGCTCCATTATGTCTCTGTGGAAGTGGTGGGAGTTATAGTAATAGTAGTTGTAGTAGTAATGTTCCTCCTACTCGAGGTGTTTTAAGTTTGCTCCTGCCAGAGCAGCAACGCAGCAATTGTATAAATGGATGTAACGATGCGTAACGTATCCCGTGAAGGATGAGGTTTCAAACAGGTTCCCAGCGATGTCGCGCCCCAAAAAGCGTGCGCATTAACCACATACCCAACCGTTATTGTGTCATTTTTAGCCTATGTCTTTTTATTGTGCGGGCTCCGACGCTTGCTGTTCAAAATATCAGCGTTCACAATTGTGAATGAACTCAAATCTATCCCCAGTCTGGATCAAAAGGACGGGGGAATTGTCAGTTATGTGTCCATCATGCGTCTGAACTTTGCATTGGACACCGTCTCTGCCAGTACAGTGAGCCAGCTGCGCCGCGGCCTCTCATTGGACGGCAGCGCCGTCAATCACTCCCGCCACCAACAAGCTAGATTGTCTGCCATGTCTTCTACTTTCTACGCATTTCTATTTTCTCATTTATTTATTTTTTAACGTCCCGAGCTGACCTCGCGGGGAAAAAAATTCGAGTCGGTTCAGCCGGCCAATCAGATGTGATAGAGCGATTGCTTTTTCTTTCTCTTGTTGTTGTTGATTTTTTTTGTCATTATCCAACGCCTTGAGATATATTCTGGTTGGCACAGAATAAGGCAGTAGCCTAATGGGTCATGAGGGATCCCCCCCGCACCCACCGCCTTAATGCCCCCTCCCTGTCTAGACAGTGACAGGTGTGCGTGTGTACGCACACGCTTGTCTGTAGTTCAGATCAGAATAATGAACCACGCGGATGGTAATGTCTAATAGATACTTTCAATATATTATTCATGAGTGTGATTCTGGTATAGCGGGTACAGGATGTTCCGTGTAAGCAGCTCTGCATCTTAAAAAAAAACAAGCTCTAACTGACAAAGAGGTCAACTAAGGTTACGCTCCACCAACCCGTCTTATGAAACGTCCTGGCTCGTGAGCTGCGGCGGGTTTTAAAACCTGCGAAAAGCTCTTTTATTTCTGTTTTTTTTTTTTGGGTGTAAAAACTGCACTGTTGAACTTTCATAGGTCTCCAGCTGTAGGGGCAGACAGAGGTGTCGCTTCAGACAAATCGCCATCGCTCGAGCTGAAAAGGCTCCGGGGATATATAGTTGTGTGAGCACCCAGGGCACTCAGTTGACTGTGCGCGCCATCTGCAGGACTGCGATGTGGATTAATACAGCGGGTTCAACGGAGGACACCCTTCCGTCACTGCTTTGACCTACATTAACCAGGAACACCGTAGGAACACCGCCACCGGCCTTAATGCGCTGCTTTGCGAATCCGTCAACGAGGCACGTTTCAAAGATGCTTTTAATGTTCATTAAAAGTCAGAATTGTGTCTCTTTTTTTTTTAGGATCACGGACTGAACGTCTCGTATATCCGTGTGGTGCACGCCTTCCCGGATCCGTAGTTTGAGATATCCCGCTCGATTAACACGGCTCAACCGGCAGCACGTGCAGGGAGGATTCAACGCAGAGAACATTTTGTTTTAGTGGTGGCTCTAAGCGATTTGCATGTTTGACTGGACATGGCCGATATTGCAGCGTGTCGTTGCCACCATGAAAAAAAAAACCTCTACAATATGCGTAGATTATGTATGTTTATTTTTTTTTTATTTTATAGAAAACAGGATACATTTTTTTTTGCAAAGCTTGTCACTGACTGTTTTTATTTTACTAATGCAGTGCCATACAATTACAAATTGCATTTCAACTGTTTCCCCTAATTGCACCTATCAATAACGCATACAAATAATAATGTGGAAATATGCAGCAACACAAACATGGGTTATAAAATGCAATATACTTGATATGATTGATATCAATTAATCTACAATGTTATGCTTCTCATGTAGCTTCCACATCTTAGAGCCTCTATAAAAATATATTTTTAATAAAAAAATAAATAATATTAATTGACAATAATTAGGGCAAGGCCTTCCCTGAGGATTATAAACAGCCTTTAATTGGGACACAATTTAAAAATGTCAAGATAATTAAACAGTTCAAATAATAAAAAAGTATATATTTTATTATTATATAATTATAAATTGGTTGAGTTATATATATATATATATATATATATATATATATATGTGTGTGTGTGTGTGTGTGTGTGTGTACGCATCAGAAATTAAAAACAAGAAGGTCTTAGCAGCACAAAAGTTAAAGACTCAAGTGCAAGTATGCAACACCTGCATACTACCTTCAACAACCGATAATCTCACCTGTACACCTGGACAGCAGTCATCCTTTTACAAATATACTACTTTTGTTGTATTCAAAGTCCCTAAATGTTTTCCCTCATCAACAGTTCAGTCAAGAAAACCAAAGTATATGACATTTAAAATGTTGCTAGAAAATTCCGATGGCAGCTTCTACTTTGTGTCTTTTGATTTTAATAAAATGTCCAACACATTGAGCCTATCCTCATTCAATACTGACAAATGTCTCATTCATTTTCCAACTGATAGATAAAAAAATAAATTTGATGAAAAGCTGCATAGTTTAGAGAAAAAATAAATCAAAACATTTTTTTGATTTGATTAAACCTCAACTTTACCTTCAGCAACCCAAAGAGAGATTATTTTAAACATGAAAACTGAATGTTCTGTGTGGCAAAACAGGAACTTCCCTTTGGCAGGTCAAGTCATGCCTCACTCAGCTTTAAATGTAACCAACAGAGGGCAGCAATATGACTTCTCTTTATGGGCATTTATTTATCTATTTATTTCTTTATCCTTTCATTCATTCATTCTGCTTCTATGTTGTCCTCATATTCAAATACGCTCCGTGCCTTACATTTTCTCTCATTCGCAAATGATCTCTGATGGTTCGGAGGTGCCTACAGTAATATGTGGATAGTTCAAGGTGGCGGTGTTAACATTGGTTTCTTTGCCAAAATCTATTAACACACACACACACAGACAGACAAAAAAAAGGTCTTACTCAGATGGAGGTTTGCAAGCTACTATTTAGGGCAAAAAAAACAGACAATTCATTATCCTCAACTTGGAAATAAATCATTACCGTTTCTGTATTAAACATTGTTGTACAAGTCCACTCACGGGTCCTGTCCTTGTATATCTTTTTCTTTTTTAATATATTCCACTAAGTGAATGGCCCACGGCCTATTCATTTTACTAGACAACTCATTACTGGTTGGATGGCAACTGACATCATGCAAACTGGATTAGGGCGGTTGGAATTAGTTTTCATTCAATTTACAGTGCAATTAAAATGTTATTTCTGTCCAAAATTGTATCTTTCTAAGCCTGCTTTGTTTTAAACCCACCTAGTAGAAACCTGTTAATGTGTGCGACGGAACAGGGCTTTTCTTAGGATTGCTCTATTTATTCCTTCTCATTGTTTCGGACTTAAAATGCACTCCAGAAGACAGTTTGGGTCAAGGTTTAGTTTTTGTTAGCTATAGATCTTAGCAAGCATTAAGTGCTGTGGAATAAAAAAACACAAAATTAAAATGACCACAACCCTAATGAGCATGCAGTCCACTAGTACACGGAGGTGGCTCTATAGTTAGTCACACGTTAAGCTCTGAGAGACGGGTGTGGCCGTGTGGTATGGCCACGCGATCCTCTTCCGTGTCACACATACGTGACCTAAAACGGCCTCTATGCTTGTTAAACCATGCCAAACTCCACCACCACCATCTTCCCACACTGTCACCACAGAGAGCCACAACCCATCTGTGAATTCCAGTGTACCATCCACCGATGAATCAACTGAGACACACCTTAATTCCCGTTAAAGGTATGCCACTTCATCAGTGTGATGACTAATGCAAAATGATTTACGAGGGTAAACACACTGGTTGTGTGCATGCATGTCATATTTTTGATTGTTGTTATCTGATAAAGGGTGTCTTCATTCAGAACCTGTTTGGGAATACACACAGTGTATGGGAGCATGCATTGAGTTTGCATGCATGCTGAGGTGGTCTGGGAGCCAGCCAGCAGCTACAACAATGCCATCTTTCCACTTCCTCAGAACTTCACATCTCACATATTTGCAGTTATAAAGCAACAACAGGAAACACAACACCTTCGTTTGGTCCCTTGTAACGTTTTATGTTTGAGAGATAAAATGAATGGTCATTAGAATTAAAATTGCTAACATTTTGCAGCATTTTGTAATGCACAGTACGTTTGCAATGCAGAGAGCTACTCGCCTCTCATCTTCAAAACTGGCTGCAGGCAGATAGTTGACAAGTACAGACAATAACATTGCTTTGTAAGCTAGTCGTCTCTTTCTTTCGTTTTTTTTTTGTTATTTGGTCTTTGGTCTTAATTTGACAATTATTGGGCCTAAAATAACTTTATTTTGTGGATGTGCAGTATGTCAGTGACAACATTAGTATTACATGTTTCATTGAAACTCACAAGAAATGATCACAGACGAGCCAAGACGTGACAGAAAATAGGCCTCTTCACATACTGACAAATGTGTTTTTCTTCCTTTTGGGTTGGGACTCCTCTCCGTTTCTACCAAGGTGCTGCTAGACTCTGCAGAAACTGTAAAACTGTACTTATTTTATGCAGGTTGTGTTACATGTGTGAGGTGAGACAAATAGTGTAGCTCTTGCGCTTTACAGAATCGCACCAACTGTTCTGTGAGTCATGCACCATCTGAGGTTAGGGATTTTTAGAGGAAGAATAAACAAAGAACAAGAAGAATCTGTAAAATCATTTGCTTGTTTGTCAGGTTTAAGTCGGCGCTAGTTTGATTTACCTTCA